GAAACGCATCCTTATTAAAAACAGGGAGTGAGATTATTTGCATGGAGAAACCTCTTTGAAAGGACATGGGTTGTGGACTTTGCTTGGAGTTGCTGTGAGAGGACAGATATTTTTTGTTTGTAATTGGCTAAGAAAGAGAACAAGCTTTGGGGCAACATAGAGCATTTGCTTTGTGGGTTTTGATCAGGTCTTTTAATCAGCGTGAAGCTTGGGGCAGTATGGAGCTCTGTGCCCACCCGAGATGCATCCCTGGTAGAGCTGGGTGTTGAGCTGCTCCTTGTGCTGCCCTATCACCTAGCCTTGGGTACTAATGCTGCTTCTCACATCTCCTTTCAGCATTTCAGATAGGGGAAAAGAAAGGCGACATCAATCCTTCAACTCCACCTGGGGACCGCATGGAGGAGAAGCCTCTTGTAGGGTTATCTTGCACCCTCCCAGGAAATCTCTTCCCTCTCGAGGCTTTATCTGAAGCCACATTGATTCCCTAATCCCCTGATTTCAGCTGAAATTACACTACTGTGAGGCACTGTCATTATCCATGCTCTGATGCATACGTCAGGGATCAGCCTCCACTGTGCTAGGTGCTGTACAAGCATAGCAGGGAAACACAGCAGCTGCAGTAACACCTTGAATTGCTAATGCTGATGCTGTGGTTGTTTCCTTCAGGATGTGCAGCTTTAATTATGCACTTTACGTGGGGAAGTCCAGTGACTTCTCAGAGGGGTTGTACCTGCCTGAGCCTGGGCTGTGGGATTAGGTTCATCAGTGGGTGAGATATGTTGAGGTTCATGTTTACTTCTTTATTTACATGAGTGTGGTGGTTTTATTTGCTCTGTTTATTTTTGCAGGGAGGGAAAACAATCTCTCCCTATTCTCTAACTAACTAAATAAACACAGCCCACCCCACTATTGAACATCAGTGACATCTGTATCTGCAGTGACTCAGATGGTTTTGTTAATAACAGAGCGAGCTCTCGGTGTAGCCTGATTCTGTCCTTCAGATGGGAGACTTTAATCCTGAGTCTTATTTTTCACTGCATTCGGCTACTGTGTTTTTGAGCAACAAATTACATCCATGCCTCCAAGCCAAACAAGGAGTGAAAATTCCTATTTAAAAGAATGTGGAAATAATACTGTCTATCTACCTACAGTACAATTCCATTTTTAAAGTGCTTTGATACTTTTAACAATATTAATATAATAACAGCAGCATGTGCCTATTGGGTTAGTCTGTATTTTATAACTTGGTATCCAATTTCTCCCTTGTTTCCTGCAGGACTGTCACTATTAATTTCTACTCCCATTTTTTCCGTCAGTGTGAACATTGTCATTGGACTATTGTTTGTAAGTGATAAGCAGCCCCTAGTATTATTATTGTTATTTCACTCCTGCTTGTTGAGCATCAACAATCTACCAAAAATATTAACACTTTGGTGGAAGTTTAACTCTCTCTTCACCAGCTGTTTCCCCCCTTTTCTTTAACTTAAAGGAACATACTTGCTACTGTAGTATCCAAGAATAAAAAAATAGGAAACTAGTAGGAAGGCAATCTGTCACAGGGAAAAAAAAAAATATCTCCAGGGGTGAAGAATGCCTTCACAGTATGGCTTTAAGGTTTTAATTTATATTGGTCCTGACTCATGACACAGCCAGAGCAAGCCCGGGCCTGGGAGTCAGGTCTCCCACTGACCCTTGCATAGACTGCTTGAGAGAGAGAGATGTCAGCTGAAAACTCCCAGGGATCATGGGGCTGCCAAGCACTTTGAAAATGACTGCCAATTTGGCCTAGTCTCAGCTGAACGCATGCCCAAGAGGGAGGGAATGCCAGTAATAAAGCAGTTTAGAGGAGAAAGATATTGCTTTTGAGCTCCCAAACCCTTCCAGCCTTTTTATATGATGATATTGTTTGCATACATGCATGCTCTCATAAGGACACATACCTGCACACACACGTGTGTACATTTGCTCCTTTCAGAGCTAAACAGTCTGCAAAGCAATGCATGAGGTAGATCCCCTCTTCTCTGTTCATTATGCAGCCAACAAACCCCTCTTTAAATTCAGACAGTAATAAAAGTGAGTGAAAACACAAACTTAAGCCCCTACAGAAATTTAAGGAGCAAACCAGATGAGTACCAGCGACAATGTGAAGCCCCACTGCTGTTAAATTTTGGCAAAAAATATTCTGATTTTTCAATGATCAGAGACAGTTTAAAACTACAAAAAGATGCAGCATTGATAGCGTCTAAAATTTCTCCAAATTCAGGTAATAAACCTTGCAAATCTTTATTTTCACTTTATTTCTTTTCTCTAAGACTTAAAAGAACCAAGTTGTGTCCCTTTTAATGTGAGTTCTTATAAAAGAAACTCAATTTTAAATTTTATTGTCGTGAAATCAGTTTTTCTTCTATTTTATTATGTTCATTACGGTGCTTCAAGGTTAATAAGGGGAAACCCCAGCTTTACTGGATTGGCTCAAATACGAGTGACTGCAGTTTAGTCAAGCTTATTAGTATTTCTTTCTCTCATGTAAGTTGTGCCAATGGAGTAAATGATGTTACTCATCTGAGTAAAGGCTGTAAAGTGAAGCCTAACATGAAATGTGGGAAAGAGAATAGGGAGAATTATGGGGGGAAAAAGCCCAGGTGTATTAATCAACATCCAAGAACAATGAAATGTGCCAGAAGTAAGTACTATTTGGTGCGTGTAACATGACAGTTAAGAATACCTAGATGAAAAAAACCCCAACAAACAAAACACTGCTTGGCAAGCACATTCATCTGCCACAGCATCTGCCTCCAATATGCTTTATACTTGCACAGATACGTTTGGGACCTGAAAGGTAACAAGAATTTATCAAAGGATTAGCAAGCACTGATGCTACCACTCACAACTGTTACAGATCTAAATTGTCATTATCTCTTATTACTTATTCCCCAGTTTAATTTTTGCCAGGATGTCTTTCGTCTGAAATGCCAAAATGTGATCTAGAATCAGATGGATGCTGACACAGCTGAAATATTTTGCATTAGTCACCGTGTAAAACACTTCCAGAAATACTCTTTTGGTATTTGTGACTGAACTTGAATGGAAACTTAACAAAGATAGAGGTACCTCCACCACTTATTCCATTTAAAAGTTATAGTTCTTTTGGAAGTTTTTTTGGAAAATACTAGTTGGAATCCTAGAATTCCAGGTTGAAAGGGACCTCAAGGATCACCTGGTCCAAGCTTTCTACACAAAGCATGACCAAGACTAGATGTCCCAGCACCCTGTCCAGTTGATGAGGGAGGGAGGGATGGATGGAAGGATGAAGGAGGATGGCTTCAGTGTAACTTATGACCCATGCAACAGTCCCACATTTACTGTTTGTATATGTAATTAGGAAGCAGGTAATTTCAAAGACGTATTCAGACTGCTATAGAAAAGGTGGTTAAATCATCATCTCAGATGAGGTTGAAAACCATCACTAACTTGAATGGGAAATTAAATCCAGAGTTTTGCAGTCCACAGGCCTGGGAAGCTGAGCCTTCTGATGGGAGAGAGGGATCTTCTACAATGGAGAAAGGATTGTCACGTAGGAAATCATCGATCACGTATTTTATCTACATGATTTAGTTTTTCTAGACAAGCAAACCTCAGATGAAAAAACCAAATGATGTGAACCACAGAAATACTGGGGATGGGTCTAAAGGAATTTTAGTGCCTGTTTCCTGAACTCTAGCTTGGCTGCATAGAGTGCTTCCCTTGAGCATATCATAGGTTACGGCTGCTGGACAGACTGTTCCCTCTTCTCTCCTGCCTTGTTCAGATTAGGACTGTCTGCTGTTCTTGAGTCCCTCTAGGCTATTCCTAGAATAACTTTAATGAAAATTTGTCAGAGTCAGACAGACATAGCAACTATTCAGGTAGAGAGGACTGTATGTGGATTGCCTTCTCAGGAGAGAGTTTGTGGTAACCTCTACAAGAAGAGTTTCAGTTTAGAGAAAGAACAGCAAGAATGATACTGCAGGTCAGTAAAGTAAGGAACCCCTTCCCCTCCTACACTTTTATTTCACTTTTCAACAGTATTCTACCCCATAAGGAAACATAGGGTACAGCTGTAAGCTCATGTTATTTGGAAACACAAAGTATTAAGCAGTCATAAGGCATTTATCTGAGTCCACGTCACTGTGTTTTTGGAAAGCAGGTTTTATACAGCTGCTGACTATGTCTGTCGGCAGATGAGCTGGTGGTGCCTACAACCCTGACATCTGGCTCCTAGCTGCTTTCAGGACTGAATTCTACAAAGCAAGAGCCCTGGTGTTGTTCTGAGCTGCGTGTGGGTAGGTTCCTTGGTGAGCTTCAGTAGGATCATGTGTGCCTGAATTCTTTTTAGGATGGGAATGACACAATTTATAGGCTTTCAAACAGAAGCTGGTCCTCAAATCTTCCTCTAAACCAAAATACTTCTAAATTCATTTTTTCTTTCATTTCTCTGTAATTTCTGGACTATTTGTTGATGCTTCATATCCGAAACTCTCTCTCCGACCCATATAGCGTAAGAAATATCTCCTTGCTGTGTTCTAGGAATCTGAGATGCTTTCACTTGATGGAAAGACAAAATGTAACTGTGAAAAGACTTGGAAATTTTGAGAAGGGTATTTAAAGCAATGGGAATTTTTTGCAGATTTCTGGTTTGCTTTGTGAATTTAGCACAATCTGAAAATACTTCTACATAATACATAATGCTCAAAGTATCTGTCTTCCTCCCTAGATATCAACACAATATAACATTCATAGAAAAAAACCTCAACCCACCCTAGTTGATATATCATGTTTATTATAGTGAAATACTGTAATGGCTCCAGATCTGGCATTAGCTTTTTCTCTTAAACGTGGATCAGCATGAAGTTTGGACAAGTGAAACATTACGCAGTTGTGGCTTTTCCATGTCAGGAACACACATCAGTTCCTTTATATCTCTTTAGTGTGAATGCAGTTTTCTTAGGTTTGGGCCTTCATCCAAGAGACTTCAGGCCAGACCTGTCTTTGCTATGACTTGATTTACTTCATTTTGCATGCACTAGGGGAAGTTTAAACCTCAGGTGGCAAAATGCTAAAGTATGAAACTCTGAAACAGAATCTGCTATGAGGAAAACAAATGGATATTCTGCTGCCCTTTGCTCGTTGGGACTTTCTAGTGGAGGTAAGAAGCCGCAGTTAACTCAGCTCTGTGTGATAAATCACATACATGTTTGATGAACATGCTAATTTTAATTGTATGTCTTACAGCATTAGTAAGTTATCTTACGCCGTCAGTGCCTGCCAAGTGGATTTGATTCCTTGGAAGAACAAAAGATGAATGAGAAGAAATGAAAACAAAGTTTACCTACTGGCTATATTTTTTCAGTACCACTAATGTGCTGGACATTTTCCAAGCATAAAGAAGTCACAGTTGTCTCCACATGAGTTCACAATACCCAGACAGTGAGCTGAGGAGATCGGTACAATAATACTAAAACAACAGGATGATGTCCAGAAGACTGAGATGAGGAATTTTAGACAAGTTAGCGAGTGAGGAAAAAAAAAGTCCAGTGAATAACTGGTAGTGATTCACTTTAATAGTAAATAGAAGAAAAAAAAAAGTGATTTTTAAGGAAATTAGATATATATACTTATGTTCTTGCATTTACTTCTATAAATCTGTGTTCAGATTATACAGTGTACAGAGCTTTGAAGTTATACAGACTTGTAGAAAGCCTGCCTGATAGAGGTAAATGAGAAAAGACGGAAAGGCGTAAGGCAGGACCTTATTCTTCAGGCCTCATCTGGTGTCTCATTTGCTGCTTCTGACACCATCAAGAGACCTCTGAGCACCATTATACTATTATTAATAATAGCTGTATCATGACTTCTGCTCAGCAGTAACAGCCTTAGGCAGTGCCTGCTCAGTGATCTGTGTGCAGTTGCTCTCCACCTCCCGTGATGCCAACAACAAGACGTTCTCAGCTTTTGTTGTAGCACTTCTGGTTTCATTTGTTCCCTTGTCCACACTTCTGATCACTCGCAGCAAGTTCTTCTCTTATCCTGATACTGAAGTTCTTGAATTTATTGCCATGCTGTTGCCTTTCTCCCCTTAGGCTCTTTTTCAGTATGACCAGGAAACACAATATGCATCGTGGGCAGACAATAAGCTGTATAATGAGAGATGAGAACTGCTCCACAACCGGGTGTCTTTGTTAGCAGGAAAGACGTGGTTGTGGTTATACAAAAGTGTGCAGTGGCAGGTCTAAGGCAGGGATGAGACAAATGTGTGCCCAACAAAACCAATGGCTTCAACCTGCAACCCAGAGGAATCATTTCTAGTGAAAAATTAATAGTTTTCTGAAACAAGACTTCTTTGTGTAATATAATATGTAACATTATGAATAAAACAAGAAAGGCAAAGACTTTGACAAGATAATCTATAGGAACTTACAGAAACTTTTCCTAACTGCTGCAGTGATTTAACTTATTGTGGAGGAATGTGGTTTTTTGAGTGATCAAAGCCAACATTCAGCAATACCAAACAAGGAGGGAAAGGTGGGTGTCAGTAATTAGTAGCAACGTTTGTTGTGTGTGCTAGTTTCCTGAGGAAAACCCAGAGTGTTTGTCTTCAGTGTCTGGTTGTTACATGGTGCACTGATAAGCAGAGGAATGAAGCACTTCTCATTGCTTTTTTGTCAGTTAGGAATAGCAGTCACAGAAAGGAATACTCATGTCTTTTACCATATTCATCACCTTAGTATCTGAGTACCCTCCAGTAGTACATTAAGCATGACTAACATCTGTTCTGTGTTTGTTTTCTCACCTCCTCTCCAAAGGGAGTGTATATAAAGTGAACTGCTCTGGTTTGTTTTGATATATATGTTATACTGCTAAATGTTTATGTCAGAAGACAAAGTCAACGAAATCCTTTCTGAACTTACAGCACTGGCTCTGTATAAAGCTATCTATCTCTAGGTGAAGGAGACCTGGTTGGGGTTTTTTCTTGTTCATGCACTCTGAATGGCCAGAGGCAGTTATACTGGCTCTTCAGTTGGATTTTTACAGGGGAAACTGTGGTAAAGAGAAAACAGTTATCTTATTTCAAAAATACAGTATGATAGCTTGATCAAGACCACATTTTACACCACTGACATCATGTCTTTGCGTCTTAAATTATATAGGTCATCAGTGACCCCAACAATCTATTAAAATGATGTACCTAAGAAAGATATTTGGAAGCCAAATGTATCAGTGGCAATGTGCAACCAATCTGTCAGAGCAGTGGTGATGTAACTTGGCATTATCCCCTATCAATGAACTACAGAAACATATCTGGTACTTGAGCTTTTGGGGAAAGATCGATACGGTCAGTCCGCTTATCAGATAGGAACATTTAAGAAGAAGCAATAAAAAGAGTAATACATTTTGTGCATCCAATAAAAAAGGAGGTGCCACTGATCCCTTAGAGGGTATGAAAATGGTCATTGTAGAAATGAGATGCTGAATCAGCCTGAAAGAAGTATCACATTAATACTGAATTGTTTTAGGATGGGAATTTTCAATAATCTAGTAGTAAAATGACAGTACAGTTGCATGTTCATCTTTAAGAAGCAGACATTACTGCAAAAGGATCTGTTCATGAGTGGAGTTGTTAGTCCTGTTTTGGCAATTACTACCATATTTATTTGTTCAAGATTTGTGACAGTTTTTCATTAGAGACTGGATGCAGATGGCGTAAGAGTGGCTACATTTCTGCAGTTGTCCTTCCTGTGTTTATCTAGTAATGAGCAGCTCCTAAACCAGGCGGCTTCAGCACTGTGTTGGCTATGGTCTGTCACCATTCCTCCATAGTAAACACCTTTAGTTTGCAGTGTTGTTTGTTCTCAGGCTTTATCTTTGCCTAGGTTGCACAGCAATTTTGTCATGTCAGATTCTAGCTGACTACCCATCCTAAATCATATAATGAGTGATTTTGATACTGTTGGCTATGGTAGTCCTGTGCCTCTGTAATTCCAGAGAGCAACCTTTTCACTATGATGAATGGAAACTTATTGAAAAGGAATGCCTCTGTTATCAACACTTCAGGTTAGCAAAGCAGTAAATGCTAACCAGCACAGCCACATGTCAGACTCTGCAGAAATGTCATACTTGCAGCCTTTACATATTTGGACAGATCTGTCAGTTCTTACCTATGGACTATGGCAGCATCTCAGCTGTAAAGCACACACTGGGAATCAACATTTGGAAAAGTGCATGCCTTCTGTGCCTAAAGAATTTGCAACCCTAACATTTACGCTTAATAAAAGATAATCTCTTCCAACATTGCAGAGTAGGGAGAATGCAAATCCTCTCCGGTGTTGTATAGCTACAAGGAGAAGAGTTTCCCTGTGACTTGGAGAGAAGCCTGCCATATCAATGTCTGCCTAGCAACTGAAAGGTGACACGTGGAGCCTCCTTTTCAACTCATTTCCTCTTGATGAGAGGAAGGGATCCTCCTGCGAGTTATTACCTGAAATAATACCATATGGTAAAATGTAAACAACATCTGCATATTCATGTAATAATTTCATCTGTTTAATTAGTTCCAGCAAAGCAGTTTACCCTCTGAGGCCCTCGCTGTCAGCTCCACGCTCATACATCCATGCCCTGCTGTCGAGCCTGACAGCCGTCTATTGTTCATTCACTGCTTCCACCTCGCCACTTAATGTAAGTGAATCTTCTGAGGGGTGGAAAGCCTGTCCCCATTGATCCAGATGTAAGGGCTGGGGGGAGGAGAGTAAATATCTGTCAGCTTGCAATACGGATACTAAGAGCCAACTTGACAGATCAGGTGGCTTTGTGGGTTTTTCGAGGGGGAGTAAGGGGCATGCTGGCACTTGGTGTGAGTGCTAATAGTGCACAGGACTGCAGGTTTGACTTTGTATGGTTGTTAAGCCTTTGCTCTCAGGCTGGGTGCTTCCACGTCAGGTGAATTAGGCAACAGAACAGCAGCCCAGCTTTTACAGTCAGCTGTATTTCAGTGCCAGAGGAATGACAGCATGCCCACTGGTGCAGCAAAACGCAGGGCCCTAGAGGGCTGTATGGATTGGCCAAACAGGTTTTCGGAAATGCATGTCAATGAACACTGTTCAGGAGAAACTGAGAGTGTAAAAAGCGTGTAAGGCTAACTGGAAAGGTCCCTGGAATGTATTTTTAGAGCCTCCTGGCTCATATAAATAAATTATACTGTGGGTCACATGTAATAATAAGGCATTCAACTCTCCTTCAAAAGGAAACATTTACATTACGGGAATATAAACACTCCATGGTAATATTGCACCTAAGTAAAGTACTGCAGTTCAGTGTTGTAAAGTCAATATCATAATAAGGTAATAATAATAATAATACTTAGTACTTATATGGCTTTTTACAGATTTGAGCAAACACTAACTGATTAGTCCTCGGAACACCCTGGGGCAAATAGGTAAGTAAGAATTATTGCCTTGTTGTAAAAATAAACTGTATCTTATCACACACCATCACCATGGTATCTATACAAACAACCGGTCTGAAGGGCAGTACTGGCTTATGATGCACTGAGGCAAGTTTGCAAGGTGTAAGCTCAGGTAAAGAGATGTATCTTATATTTAATTTTAATGCTGATCATATATGTATTAATACAATTATCCCATTCAGAAGATTTCCAGAGATCGTGGCCGGTGGTCAGGAAGGACAGATGTCCCACTGCATTTTTGATCTTTCTTAATAGAAGAGGTCAGCTCCACTGTGCCTGAATGGCCTGTCTGCATGTCAGGAAAGGGAGAGGTTTCTGAAATGTTCAGGGCCCAGCTATTAAAAAGGAGAGAATAACTGATGATCTGGAATGTGTCCTGGATAGGTGCATTACACTGGAACAGTTTGTTCTCCTTATTCTACACTCACAAGAAAAGGTTCTGCATGTGTATGTGTACTCTGTGGGTCTTTTTTTATGGTATGCAGTGAAAGCCTTCAGGCATAAGTTATAGTGGTTAAGTAAGGCATAATTAGTATTATGTGTACAACGTGTTTATCTGTATATTGAAAAAGGGGGTGGTACTGGTTACCTAAATAATGAGATACTATTTCCTGCTTACAAAAGGAAAACCAGGAAGACCAGATCATCTGCATGCTGTCAGATGGAGTTCTTCAGGTTTCTCTCTTAACAGCTCAGAACAGTGTTGCAATTACTTTTAATGTTCTTAATCTGAACCATAAAATACTAGTTCACAATAGACAGGCAGCAAAGACACCTAAAAATTAATTATACTGCCAAAGTCCCCAAGATACTGGCAGAAAAAGGGTCAAGAAACATCCAGAATCATCCTTATTCGCCAAGAGCAAAACTTCTGTATCACATTACCCTTGTTGTGGGCACGCAGTTCCCTGAGCTTCAATGACACTGTCGTTTCCTCCTTAAGACTGTATTTCATGCAGCCACAGCAATAAAATGAACTAACCTTCAGATCACGGAAGTTAGAACTGATTACGTTTATGAAGCTAATGAGGAACTGTTCTAATTGTTACCTTGCGTACATTGTTAGAATGTTTTCATACACACTCCAGTATTAAAAATGAATATTTGGAAGCTCTTTGGAAAGCTAATTTGCTATAAATTAAAATAATAGTAATTTAATAAAAACAACACAATGACACTGAATTAATAATGAACTTTGCTAAATATTATTGAACACAAGAATACATTAATATTGTGTTCGTGACAGGTTCATCGGTCAAATAACGTGGGGCTCTTTTTCCCTGGAATGAATGGATGCTTATTACAAATGAAAAGGGTACGTCACGCTTCCCCATCAACATGACACCAAACCTATGTGAAAAACTTTAAGGTCTGAGAGGTTCATCTTGTCTTGGTATCCATTTTATCATTATTTTGTGTGCTGAGACAGACATGAGTTATCCAATAGTAAGTGGGTATAATATCAATTTAATTTGGGGAATGTTGACAGGCATCAGACTACTCATACTGCTTTAAGTGCCATTAGTCATCAGTTTATAAGAAAACCATTTTCCTGATGAGAAACAAAGGAATCTGAGTTTGATTTTTAGACTTCAGGCTTCTGATGTCCTATGTGACATTTCATAGGTCAGTCAATCTGGACTTTCATTTCCCTGACCATGTTGGTTTTTTTTAAATCTCATTGGTACACTGAAATTACAACTACTTTAGGCAAGCCTATAATGTTACAAAGCCCTGGGCTGAATTATGATCTGTAATATATTATGATCTGTAATATATTTATTAATGTAAAGTAGTAGGTAGTCCAATCACGTATGTTTATGGTGTTATAAGGCTTCTATTAGAATGGGACTCTAACATCACCCCGCATGCCTCAAAAATAGTTGTATTACTTCGGTACTTACCTAATCTCTCAAGTCAGCTAAAATTACAGCACAGGTAGTTGTATATTCTTGCACATTTCAGAAAAGCTACATTTCATTAATATTCTTGAAATAAACCCTAAAACTAATGGATTCCTTCCTCTTTTCTGCTCTTTTTAGTGCTATAAAATTGTTCTTTGCCATTTTTTTCCTCCATTAAATAACTTATATGAAGCAATTTCAGGCTGGCCTTGAAGTGCTTTCTAAATTAGATGAAAAAAAAGGTCCATTATTTTTAAGATCTATAATTGTTATGGTGTTTTTATGCACAGATCCAAAATAGTTTCTAATGGACATTATAGGGTAGGAAAGATTAATGGTGTTTTAGTGAGGTAAGACTGCTGGCCAAAGCAGGGTTAATTTATCAAAATATTTTAAGTGTAATTGCCTCAAGAGTGAAACTTCCCGAACTTTTTTTAGCTGGAAGCTGTTTCAACAGGTTCATTCCAACCTAAGTGCATCCAGAACATTTTGGTATTTTTCTTCTTAATAAGGAAGCGAAATTATCTGGGTTATGTTCCCAAAACAGAAGCCTTAATGACCTTTATTCTATATTTCTCTTCATAGATTATTGCGATAAGGAAACCCTCGTGTCTCGACCCACTGGCGTCTGGCTAATCCGATGGTATTTGTCGCCGCATTGTCCGTGATCAATAACTAATTATCAAAGTGGCATTTCTTTTCAAGAGCTCCTTGTTAAAAAATGGCTTTTGGCTGAGAGTGGAGGAAAAAGGTCGCCACTTTGACATCATTGCAAGTCTTTCAAAATCCAGTGGGCCGTCCGATTGAATTACTGTCCCAAACTAATTGATATAAATTTGAACAGAAGAATGCTTGTTACTACAGAATGTCATAATGATATCCTTGGCAAGAGCATGTCAGTGGGAAAAAAAAAGAGAAAAGACCAGCACTAGTCACAAAGCATTGAGACAAGTTGCAGCACAAGACTATTAACAAAATTAACAGGAACAAAATTGTACACCACTTCCTTCTTCCCAGCCAGTCTGATCAGGCGTTCAAGAAAGAAAAGCAGTAACATACCTTATAGTTTACTTCAAAACAGCTTTAAAACAATCTACTGGAAAGGGTAATTGTGATGTACAAAGGACTGAAACTTGATGATGAGTTGCAGAAGTCTCCTTGGCTCTACTGGGATCATGAGTGCACATCCATTGGAATTCAGCTTTAGTTGTAAGGCAGAATCTGGCAGACAGTTTCCTTAAGGAAGGTTTCTATGCAGCTTTAAAAACCCATGCCTTTGAAATATGGTGACCTTCTCTAGAGAAAGTTGGACTGTATAAGCCACATACCTTTGAACTGGGAAAAAAACCCTAATAGTTAAGATATATGGTAAGAGGAGTCATAAAAATGCGGTGAGAATGCGAAGAAGATCTTGCAGTATTCATGCCTGAGATTTGATGTATTGTCTTGCATGTCGTTTGGAGGTTGCCTGCCATGGAAACCTATATTTTCATTGCAAGGCATCTGGGCTTGTGTATGTTCTGGCTTTTTGTTTTTTTATATCTGTCTTCTGCTGCATGTCCTACATTCAGTCCCCAAGCTGGGAACTGCTGGGAGTGCAGGAAAAGTTTACACTGTGAAAGGTACGGCGTGCTCTGGAAAAGGGGTATTATAGAAGTCTTTTTGTGGGCATGATAACCAGGGTTAACTCATGACAGAAATTAATAAGCTGAATATATTGGTTATCTGGTCAGAAATGTTGTCCGATGATTTGCCAAAATATCATTTTAGCCACATCCAGAGCAAGTCTCATGATGCTGAGGAAGAAAGAAGAGGAAAACCGTTTGTGCCTAATTGGAAACGGTGAGTTTATGTGCATTTTAATTCCTAATCTTGCAAGGCTCCAGCTGGGGTCTAGTAATGAACATCTTTGCTGCAAACTTACTGTTTTACGTTTTCTAACGGTAAAGAGAAGGTGCCTGATGAATTGTCACAGTGACTTTCATCTCTGCAGAAGATTTGGAGATCCCGTTCCGACTATAGCAATCACCAAACTGAAGTTATTGGTATCTGATGACTTGTCAGTAGCCCATGTGAAACAGCTACTTTCCATACAAGCCCTATTATCAACCCTCAATGCCATCTCAGTATTTTGATGCAGATTCAGCACAGGGACTCGGGAACAAATTAATTGGAGAGACCAAATTCTACTGGTAGCAGTCCTCTTGTTTGGACTGAGTGGTGGCTGATAAGCACTTTGAAAACAGGTCAGTGATACATTAATTAGATTAGTAGAAGTTTGACAGATTGCTGCTTGTGATGGCTTTATCATTTGGATAATAAGGCCATCAAGCCACATTTTCCTAGTATGTCAAAGCCACAGAACAAAGTAGGAAACCACAAGGGTTTGAAGATTCAGAATTCACATGGTTCTGGTTATAGATGGAAAAGTCTACTTTTGCTGAGGAAAGATCTAAGGCAATGAAGTTCACTACATTCAGTTCTCACTCTGCTTTCCATGTGACTTTATGACTGTCCTCTTATGCTGGGGGCAGGAAATGCTTTGTGGTGGAAGGTAGCTGACCATCTCTGACAGACTTACACCATCACAGGGTCGCTAGGGGATCCTCATCTTGTTTTCCATGGCTGCTTTAAAGACACTTTGTGAGGCTTTCTTCTTTAGCAGACCACAGAATTCAGCCTGAAAGCCTGTCGGGCGGGTCAACCAATGTCTAGGTCAACCAGTCTTGCCCCTTAATTATTCCCTCTGGCATTGCATTCACAGTGTGATAGAATTAGAAGCTAAATATATACCCTCTATATATAGGCTCTCTGTGTATTTGGCATATACGAAACCACATGTCTATACTGTTGTTATTGGAATGTACGTTTGTATCATTGCATAATCTGTAGGAGGAGTTGTAATGTGTGTGATAGCACTGAAAAGAGACTCCTACATATTTGTCAACTAGTTTTAGGTCCAACTGAAACCATAACACTGACAGGGCAGACTTGTAATGCCATTAAACACTTTAGAATTGATACCAACAGGTAAAAGTAATTCCTCTGAAAGAATGAAAACTTTGTGACAGATTCAATGCTGCTTGCAAAATTAGTGTAATACGAAAATCAATGTAGTCCCTACCAAACACATTTAAGATTCATTATTTGATCTAAATCTAAATTTGATCTAAATCTAAAAATCTGTTTCTAAATGAGAAATCAACATTCACTGGGGTGTTTTTAATATGGTTCCACACGGATCTGCGTATAGTCCAAAGTTACTATTTTGTAGAAAATATAAACCTCCAAATAGAAGTTGCAGGTGCTAATTTGTAAATAACAATAGAAATAGGTTAGTGTTATGTAGTGATTACATCTTATTATCACACCTAAATGTAAACGTGGAGTCATGCATCTAGGACTGAGAATGTAAATTACATTTAGAAGCTTGGAGAAAGGAGAACTTCTGAACCCCCCCCCCCCCCCCCCCCCCCAAGATAGTCATGGTAGTTATAATTGAACACAAGAGTTAGTACAAGATGATGAGATTCTTGGATGTACAAGAAAGGGTACTGATGTACTGAAAAAGGGTAGCAACTTAAACCCAACAAACTGAAGTCCGACAAGAAAATATTTAAGAGGATTCTGACAGAAATTATTTGAGATCTCAAAAATACTTTTCCTATTGAGAAACTTGAGATTTTTTTAGCTTGTATGATAGAAGCCTAGAAACTTATTCATTTGTGGTCTGCAAGACATTTATAACAGCTAAAAGGTTTTCCCTGTAGCTTGAAACTCAAGATGATTACAACTGACAGAAGTTACAACAGAAAAATGCAGCCTTGAAATAAGGCAGTTCAAGTTTTCATTACATACTGCAACATGACTAAGAGAAATGTGACAAAATATTCCTTAAACATTTGAAATTTCTTTAGTCCCTGTCTCCCATCTCTCTTCCTAGTGTCACTGGTAATGTCTTAGGTAGATGACTGACGTTCTTTGTTAATTTTGTAACCTTTTCTACAAAAGTAAATGCTTACTTGAATTTTAATTATGCAGTAAAACATGTAATTCTGAATCCAGCTAATTGTCCCAAAGTAGTTAATATATAAATAGCTCCAAATACCTCACACCTACTGCTTCTACTTAGCTCTTACTTCCTGAGTTTCTCTTTCTGCTCTTTCTAGCACAGAACCAGAGCAAAGGGCCATATGTAGCTAGATCAAAGCAGGAGCCTGTCCAGAAAGGAGGAGTGACTCATGAGTCATAGCTAATCCCTTGATTACCCTCAGATGGTACATTTTATTTCCTTTCTTGTATCTGGCCAGCTGCTGCTCCTACTGCTGATCCTGCTGGTGTTTTATTGCTTTTATTGGCACTGCTGATGTCTTTCAGTAGTCATGTAGGAATGGAACTAGGGATCCAGGAGAGCAGTTGTGCTCCACCCAGAGCATTCGCAGCTGAGTAGGATTGGCAGGAGCATCCCCTTCTTTCCTCTCCACAACTCTAAATCAGGCCTTGAAGTTTTATTGTGGCAGTTACCACTTTAATATTGAATGGCTCACAGGTTAACTGAGTGATGATCACGATTCTTAGTGATGGTGGGTGTTGGCTTTGTTCTCTCCCTGCTTAGGAATCTCTGCTGGTAAAGGTAGAGGGAGAGAGGTTGCAACCCTTGTCTTCATCATTATGATGAGAGAGACTTCTCAGTCCTTCTTCCAAATTCATGTTAACGCTTGTTTAAAGTTGTTCACAACTAATTTATCTGTGTACATGTATACTACTTACTTATTCACAGCTGCAATTTGTCTTTTATTTGCAATCCACTGTTCTAGTATCATGAATAGTAAACCTGGTTTAAATGTATTATTTTCAATACAGCATTTGAAGGAAAAATTGGCAACAAAACAGGCCCAGCAAAAAATGGTTTAAAGTAGTCCTACATGCATACAGACACCTACCTATAGCTGTCTCAGTCTGAAAACCTGTGATGAAAACAACTATAGAAGTTTCTAACATTATGCACTCAAAAAAGAATAGCGCTAGAACTAGCCATCTTTGTAAAACATTAACAATAATCTTGCAGCTGTTTCAGTACTACACACTGACACATGCAGCTAGATAGGTTTTCCAGTTTTTAGCAAGCAGCAGATCAGCTAAGAAAGTGCAGCTCAGTGAATTTGCTTCATTTATGTACATTATTGAACAAAACCTTGTTTTTCCATCTAAGCCAAAGTGACAAAAACTTCTCCAAAATGAAACAAGTTCAAGCACTTTCAGTCTGGTTCCCATTAAACATCATAAGAACATTGCAATTTGACATTTATCTGGCAGTCTTAAATGTGAAAGACCAATGCAGCTAGTACACAGAGGATGGAAAGGCCTCTTTGGCACCACTGGGGATGCTTTTACCAGGTTGGGGTCAGGTGTGATGACAGCAGAGTAGAAGGAGGTAGTCTCACTTCGCTGCAGACTTGAACTATATTTGACCTCTAGGGTACCAATGACTTAATTGGAAATTGCAAGAATGCTGTATTGCCCTTTATAGAATTATAATTTCTTGCCATTAAGGAAAAAAGCTAATTAAGAATACCTTATCTGATGTAACCCTCATCCAAACAGAACCAGGGATCATCCTGTTGCCATGCTTCTAAAATGTAACTGTCGGAAACAGTGGTGTTGGTGGCTGTGATTTGAATAGAGACCTTAAAGAATCATGATTTCAAACTTCTTGGTGCCCTTTCCCTATCAATCAAAAAGAATCATATGAAATAATTATTAGGCTACATAATTATTTTACAAAATAGAAGGTGTTTTTACTGCCCATGTCCATTTTAGTACCAATCATTACTTCCCTGAATGCTAATAACAGCGTTAAGCATTAATAGTATGTTTTAAGGTAAAGGGTCAATAGTCTAAGCCCTATGAAAGAACCTTGAGCATTTGCAATGTAAAAGAAACCTTTCACAGAAAAGTGTTAAATAATAAATGCATTTCTGAAGGAAATATTATATTGTGGTCCATTTGGAGAGAAATGACAATTTATAGGATATCACTCAGCTGTCTATGTTTAAAATACCTTTAATAATGCTGTGGCTTTTCACTCAATACAGAGGCTCACAGAAAGCTTGTAGCTCTCTGCAAGGGTCAATAAGTATTATACTCACTGAGGGGAAACTGAGGCACATGATGACTCGGTGCACCGCTAAATGGAAGAGGATCTGAACTGGTGACTCAGTCCTCCGAGTGCAAGAAAATGGTGCCTTCATTTCCAGCTAGTTAGCCATCTTTTAATAGATCTTTTGAAAGTATAATATACACACAGGGGATTGCGAACATATTCAGAAAAGGTAAAGGTACTTGAAACTTGTGTTTCAAGCTGGTTTAAGCTGAACAATATGACGAATGTGGAGGGAAGAGTTAGAAATACTTGGTATCAGTTTGAATTTCTTTTTTGTGCTTTCATATATGCACTGACATTTTCAAGGACCAGAAGAACTGATGCCTCAAGGAAGAGGCAGCTCAAGTCTGAAATCTTCTTGCCCCATTGAAGTCAGTGAACAGACCCTTCATCAAGCAATCATCTTCTCTCCATGGCATTATATAAATGCCCCAGTTTATTCCTTTTCAGGTTTACTCCAATTGTTTTTTAAGGAATAAATGGGGTGTAACTAATTAAGACCCATTTTTCTTCATTAACTTTTTCTCTCCTTGCTCTGAAAATGTATTCCTTCAGCTACAGCAGTAACTAAAGTCAGCTATTTCTTGCTTAAGAGCCTTTCTCACATGTAAGGAAGTTTAATTCTGCCCAGGAGGTTACAGACCTGCAACAGGGTGAAGTAGTGCCTGCTTCTGATATGGGCACCTTCCTTTAGCAGTGCATGCAGCTTGTGGATCCCATAAAATCTTCCTGGGAAAAGGGCAAAGCACTGGGATAAAATCTGGTCTGATTCAAAGATTTCCTTGGTATGTGAACTGAAATAAGTGACTCTAAGATAAATGAATGGATTTAGTTGCTTCAAGATGTAAGTTTGAGGTCCCCTTATTTCCACAGTTGGATACATACCCCTGAGTTCAGTATGTATGATCTCTGTGCTACTCTGAGGTATCTCAAGCTGGGAACCAGCATACCGATCAAGGGGACACCTAAACCAATAACTATGGAAGTAAAGAAATGGGTGTGATTGGGCAGGGGATTTGGAATAGATGGTCTTTAAGGTCCCTTCTAATCCAAACGATTCTATGATTCTATGAAATAATCTGAAAAAGATGGAAATACCCACAGCCACTTTGGATTCATAACCCTGGGCTATCTCTTAAAACTAAATACCCAAGCCCTACCTTAAAAGCATTTGAAAGGATTCACTCATATAAACATGCTGAAGGTAAAACCACGACTTCTTATTTAACAATCTGTAAAGAGTTGCTGAGGAAATGGGTAATGTGAGTTCAATTGTAGGGGATTCAAGTGAGCCAGAATGATAATAAGAGGTGGTTGCCGTCTGCAGGCCCAATACTTGGGACATTTTCCAGAAAGGGAAAAAGTCTTAAGCTTAGATGTCTACTTGAAGAAATGGATGTTTATCTAATAAAAACCTTATGTTAAAACATGTCCTGTCTAAAACTCCTTGTATCTGGGCCCAAATCTGAGTGTCACGACTTTTTATTTCTTTTTAAAGCCTAACCAGACAAACAAAACTTATATTTGCAGACCACATGAAGCCAATGAATACTCTTCCAAAGGAGCAAACTCTTTTCCCAGCACCCTCCATGGGTAAACAAGTTTCCAGTGAGATTGAGACTAATTTGGATTCTTTCTGGCTCAGGTGAGTCCTACAGGCCTGCTCATGTTTTCCTTGAGCACCACAACTCCCTCATGAGTCAAGGATTACCCATCAATTGTCAGTGGATTGCTAAAAGTTACTCTCTCCCATTGTTGGAGGGAGTGGAGGTGCTTTCCGGGAGGAAGCTCTAATAGCAGATACAACACCGAGTCTGAGTGAAGGGCTGTCTCTCTCCAAGTTGTCCTGTATTCCACTGTCACTGAGGGTTTTTTGGTGCATTCTTTACCAGAACTTATGAAATGGTGTCTAAGACAATAAAGCTTGTGCCTACTCTTCTGGTCACTACCAACCATTATTTTATAGTGCTATAGAATCCATATCTGACTGTTAAAGAGTTAAAGAAATAAATGAATCCTGTAAAAAATCAGGCCATCGTATAAAGCCTCCTCATTGCTATAATGATATCAGTTGCAACAAGTCCGATGGCTGACCTCATTACAAGGGTTTAATTGCATTGTTACACAGTTTCACTTCTTCTCTCTGGCCTCTTTCTCTTTATGACAGCTTTAGAAAGGAATTTCAGCTTGAGGTCAAAGGAAATTAATTACTGCTTTCTTAATCTGTACTCATCTGCATTTAGAAAACTTGGGGCTTTTCACTAACATATTTGTGTCTCATTTCTGTATAGACCCAAAGTTACAAGACTTTTGTCCTTTGTGAAAGTGCATAAATAGCCTTTTTCATATCAGAGGCCAGATTTTTTTCATGTCTTTACAGTTGTGAACATATGGACTGATGCCAATGGAACCAGTGGAATGTCTCTGGATATACATTCACTGTGACTGAGGTAAGGCCCTTTCAATGTAACTTTAATTCGGACTAAAGACTCCAGACAGATGCTAGGTGTCAAAAACCCATTAAGGGCAAAACCTGAAAGGAAAAGTGAAAGAAAATCCAACGAAATGAGGAATTGTACTTGGGGTAAAAGTCAGAAACAGGATATTCAAAACTAGTGGTAGCTACTTCTATAGAAAGAAAGATGACATAAATGCCAGTTTTGCCTGCTATCTACCTCCTGCTCCCCTAAACACATCATTGGTTAGTTAAGGGATATCCAGTTTATGCTTCAAAGAACTTGCAGTCCAAACAGCACAAAACCCAGCGTGCTGGCCCCAAAACAGTGAGGAAGGGGACAGAGATAGGGACGCAAAACAATAGTCCTTGGTTGAAAAGCAAAAGTATGTGCAAAACATGGTTAAATGCTGTTGTAGCATGAAACATAAAAATAAAACTCCTAATAAGTTAGGACCCTGATCCTGTAATTGGGACGTTTGAGTTGATCCCTTCCTCTTCCATGAACTCCGGTTTTGAGATGAACCAAACTTCTTCCAAACTGAAATAAGATATGTTATGGGATGATCTGACAAATTAACTGTAGGAGGGTATGCCATGCACCAAGGATAATCTGAACAAGTACAACAGTACCAGCATGATCTAGTAGTTTAAATCTGTAAGAAATTGTTATGCATTGTGCATTTGTAGAACTACCACACAAGAAATGTATTTTTCTGCAGAACATAAGTATTTCATACAGGTACATTCTGATTCTAATTAAGTCATGGAAATTAGTTGACAAAGATGAAAAAATGATAAGTTAAGAGCCCTTTGACATAGAACATTTACTGTTTCACAGACCTATCTTCTATATTTTGATCAGCTTTACCACCCACTGAAATTCTTGCTACCAGAACCATGTGCTCTTATTAGTTTATTAGTTGCTTATTAGTTGCTGCCTCATTCTTCCCTTGCAAGCAGTAATATTGGCAATAACAAAACTGCAGCTGCAAAGCCAAGCCAGCTCACTGGATATTTTGCCCTTCATCTGTCTTTACTGAAATTCAATTCAGTTATAAACAGCTGCAGATGGAGCAAGGGTTCATGTAAGTCACTGGTAAGTCAAAATGAGATGTACTTGCATTAGAATGAGTTTTATTCTTATGATTGCCCTGCTCATAAAACCGACCATGTAGAGCTTGTGATGTTGCCACAAAGCTTTATGGGGTGGACATTGAAAGTTTCAAGCCATGTATATGATTGTCTTCTCTACCATGCTGGTTGGAGCAGTGTGACAGGAGCCACAACATATTGGGAATAAGGTGAGTCTGAACTTAACTTGTAGTGCTCTAGACCTTCTTCTAGACCTACAGCTGATTTCAGATTTTCATTTAATTATTGTGCTTTGAAGGCAAGCTTGGACTTCTGAGTGAGTTCTGGCCCAAATTGAAACAATCAATGTGTAAAGTTCACCAAAATCTACTAGTCATGCTGGAAAGATGTCCTGAGCAAGCTCAAACTTCTGACACTGCCTACAGCCATAAAGCGGTATAATACTACAGATAGATGTATCTGAACTAAATTAAATCTGGGTACCTTGGGTAGCAATAACAGTGAGATAACATCCACATGAACAACTGGTCTTACTATTATATGCTGAAGCAAAGAAGGCATTAAGTACCTCACCCTTTTCCACATCCTTTGTCAATATGCTTCTTCCATATCCAATAATGAATGGAGATTCTCCTTAGCCCTCTTTTTGTCACTAATGTATGTCTAGAAAGACTTTTTATTGTCGTTAGGGCAGTAGCCAGATTAAGTTCTAGTTGGCTTTGGCCCTTCTAATTTTCTCCCTTCATAACCTCATGACATCCTTCTATGTCACATTGAGGTGTGAAAGGATTAAGTTGAAAGGCCTAGTTAACACAGACATGGCACTGGTGACAGAATTAAGTGCTAATGATATATAACAAAATGCTATTACATGAAATAGGATCTTTTTCACCCAGTTTTTCGATTTTGTCTGATAGGACCAGTAGAACAAAATGAAAAACTATTCATCAATCAGAGGTCTGGGTAGGTCAGACACTTTGGTCAAGCAATGTGAGTAATTCCACCCACCTGCGCTATAATTTATTGCAAAATTAATGCTATAACATGCAAAGCCATTGTCAGATAAAAGTAATTCTTAACCCCAGGGAAAAAGGAAAATTTGTTTCTTTCTTTCCCTCTTTCACTCTCTTTTTTGGTGTTAACCTGATAAGTTTAAACTTTCTTAATAAACGGGGGTTTCAAGATGATTCACTTCTAATGATTGAAAAAAGGACCTTGAGCTGGGTTTGATGCTTTCTCAATCATTGACTAAACCAAGGTACATTAAAAAAGGGAACAAAAGGGAACAAAAAGGAGTGCAAGGTATTCAGCTTTGTTAAAGTTTGTCTCCTTCACTACAATTAAATCAAGTTTTCTATACTTTCTGCAAGTTTTCAGAACAGTTTATTCTTAGCCATATTAAACTACAATAATTCACTAATTCACCATCTTAATTGCACTGTTATGAGCCAGGGAGATTAATGGCATCTTCTTCTTTCTAAAATGTTTAAAATTATAGTTTGTTATAAAACAGGTCACTCGTGTCTGGTGTTTGATTGGCCTTGATTGCTTCTGAAAATTAAATTGTTACCTTAGCTGTGAAGTAATTTGTAGTTACTAAAGGTATTCTAAGGCTTTCATTTAAGTATCATACACACCTACAGGAGGGACCAGAGATTGAGTGGAAACTTTAAATATACTCAGTGTGTCCAGAATTCATAGCAGACCCTCACAACACTCTCTTGCGAACCTTGTTATATCCATTCCCCAGTGGGAGAAGCTGAGGAGTACAGAAAGGGTCTTTCATTTCCTTGAGACTCGTGGATATACTTCCAGATGCACCTTGTGTTTGTTCCTTCCTACATACTGTTCTGGCATGTGTTATATCTATGTGAAGAGGAGCAAAATCTTGTAAAACTCTAGGGAGCAAGAAAAGGAAAGAGCATCTGTCACGTATCCATTGCTCTTGGTATGCTTCATGCATAGTTTGAAGGATTTTGAAACAGATGAGACTATTTGCTCTCTATTCCTCCACCTCATTCCTCCATCTCTTTTTCATATATATATAGTGAAACTGATACCAGCAGTGGAAGGCAGGATAACAGGAGGAGGTAAAGTTGTTTGTCAGAGGATTTACCCATGTTGTGTACAGTTTGTCTGGGATTGCTTGAATGAGAATAGATTTAAGAGACAGAGATATTGAGTGGGATGAATCTGAATAGGAAGTGAAGGAATAAGGAGCAGTTGCTGTAACTATGAAGCAGCTCCAGATGTGCTGCTGCATAAGGTTTTTTTCCTTATGAGTTTATTTACTCTGTAAAGTATTCAGACGCTGTGGTGAAATGGAACACTTGTTTTGGTGCTGTCATTTGTATAAACTGATTTTTGGGGGAAAAGAGGTACACTTGCGATGAGGAGCTAAATCAGCAGTGTTGTTATAATTGCCAGATAGCTTTCCAGGATGAAAAGCAACAAATACGTATACAACATGGAGCTAGTCAACCTAGAAATAATTTGTGTTAGTTTTCCATTTCAACGCAGGTTGAGGCATCCATAGATTGCGGTGATGCGGCTTATACCTAGAATGATATCTTAATAAAACAAATATAAAATGGACAAGCCTTCCTTTTGTGTATTGTTTCTTTTGAAACTTGCACTCAGGGGTTGCAGACTGCAATATCTGGTGACCTGCATAAACCTGTATAGCAGCTAGTGTAGTGGTGTGATTCTATTATCTAGACTTCACATCTTACCTGCTGGGAACTTCCAAGCAATGATGTTATAGTACAAGTAATCTGGTTTTTCTTTTTGTTGTTGTTTTCCTATAAATATTATGGTGGGGATCTTCAGGCATACAATCTCTACCAATGTGTGTGTATACATGAAATTGCACCTAAAGTATGGTACCTGCAAACACCTGCAGAACTAAAAATAGTCTTAATTTTATCTAACTAAGCCTTTATATCATCTAACACCCACATATCTGCTGCAGTTAGTTTGTTGCCACAAACCTCATGTGAAACTATTTCAGAAGACATGAGCACAAGACTTTGAATTGCATTTGTGAACTTTGCAGAGTCTGGACAGGACTTCCAGCAGCTGTATCTTGATAACCTGTCATGGTTATTAAATTTCAGTGTTTTAAAGGACATTGCAGATCTCGCCAGTTTTGGTCTATACCGTGTTGTGATGCAGGTTTCACGTAGTTGCCCAGCAGAGCACAGATTGAAAGTCTTCTCCAAATTACCTGGGGTAGGTTAAGGTGTAAAATACGCCCTGTGCTGCCCCCAGCAGGTAAAGGTAAAAGTACAGGTGTTGAAAACGCCTCTTGGATGTGCCATTCACAGTGCTTAAAAGAACCTTAACTTTGGTCTTTTGCAAGAACCTTCACCCAAGCCGTCCCCATTGCAAGGGACGCTTTCTGCTTTTAGGTAATGCCTATTTCATGTGTTGCAAAGGCACACATGACGAAAGGGCTGGCATTAGCCACATATCCATAAAAGCCTAGCAACCAAGAGTATTATCTTCATTCAGAAGAAGTATAGCACTTTTAAGGTTCAGAAACATATATAAAAATTGGGTTCTGAAATGGTCATTTTTCCCCTCTGCTATGCCATTATAGCGATCAGCCAAGCTTCTGCAAGGTAAATACTTTTGGAAAATAAGTGGAAATTTGCTGCAAATCAGTCCCTTTTGTGCATGGCCACAGGAGCATGTTGAAATGTTTGGACACTAATACCCATTCATTTTCTTGGCTCCATAAATAAAAGCCGCCAGCTATGTGGCGGCCGTGAAATGGTATTCTTCAGGACCCAGCAGGAAGCCCCATCCTTATTACCACTGCAGGGGGCAGGACAGGCCCAAAATAGCAAGACAACTAAATCAAGACATTTTCAATGTCTAACAAAATGACTGTGGTTTAGAGAGAAGCAAAAGGTTGGAAAAAAATTGGACAGCTTTTATACTTAGCATAATACCTTTGTTAAAAGAGTTCAGATAAAGATCTTATAAGAAAAAAAAAGCATAAGCATATTTCTGAATATCATTTAAAATATGTAAAGATCTTACGGAGTCATGAACAGAGTGCACTGCTACCTGAAAGGACATCCTGTTCAAATCCTATTTTCCAAATGGCAGCTCATGGTTCATAGTAAATAATGTCTTTTGGCAATATTGTTGTGTTCCTTCGGTTTTGATGGAACCAAAAGACTTGAAAAGAGACATTGGAAATTTGTCAGTAAAATTTGAAATCCTTTTTTGTTCAACAAAAAATTATGAGAACTAAGAGTATTTTGAATGAGAAAAGGTCTTGGACTAAATTTTGGTTTTCTATTTCTACGGGTTTATTTAATTTTTATGGGCTTCATACACCAGCCAATATGATCTTAGATTTTGGTATAAAATACTGGAGGGCTTCAGAGAAAATAATACTGTGCTTATCTGGGAACAGATTAAAGTAGTTTTAAAAACTGAGCTTCAGGTAAATGGAGTATTTTAAGTGTACAAAGAGCAATTCAGGGGATACTACCTTGCTTGAGATAATCAAAGATTAGACTGATGACGTTTTAATGAATTTGCAGTTCAGTGCCGTATGCCAAAACCAATGTGTCACTCTTTACAACAGCACCACTGAAATACATACAGGGGAGAACTTTATTTTGCTTTTATTCACTTGTGATTCTAATTACAAATTTGCTTCAAGTTGAAGTAATGATGTGCCTTACACATCAACATTTCAGTGAGGCATATATATATATGGTCTACCTATTAATATATACATATAAGTGCACACATATTTTGGGGAACTAAAGTAAGCTACTCAGAATGTCTCATTACAGAAAGAAGTATTTGGCTTTACTTTCAAGATGAAATAACTGTTTTACCTGAACATTAAGTTTACATGCACTGCAGAAGAGAAATGGCTTTAAGTACAAAACATCACAAGAGAGAAATGAATTCAGTGTATTACTGAGTATTGTCTTGTAGACTAAAAGGGCCTTTGACAATAATAATAATATATGAAAATGAAAAGGGGGGGAACCACAGTAGCAATTCAGTACTATCTCCGCCTCCATGTTAGCCTGGGTGTGGAGAACTGCCATAAGGCTCAAAATCCCTGGACATTCAAACAGTTCTTATGTTGGCTGTCTCCTAGCTTCCCAGATTCTCCAGGGAAATTTGCACTTGTGATGGGAATGGGTTGTATTCAAGCTTTTTCCTTATAGACAGAAGGGAGAGAATTGGTTTGGCTCAATAAACTCAAGTCTGAAGAGTGAGGCAACACAGCCATGATCCACACAACTAAACACACCATGTGATAATGTGCAAAGGATTCAGACAAACCCATCCTTATGCTTAGACATCCATATATATATATATATATATATATACACACTGAAGTGGTTTATAAAATCAGGACCCCCAAAATGATAAAAAAATAAGCCTAATTTTTTGTT